ACATGTAGCTGAAAAGAAGGTCAAATGATAATCAACTGGAAATTTAGGGTCAATTTAAGATTAATATCATCTACTAACTAAATTAGGGAGTTCTGGCGGCCTGGTGCCAAGAAGCTGTGCAGCAATCCTGAAGGCACGCAGTTCAAGACCACCATCTGCTCCAAGGGAACAGGATGGGCAATTTCCTCCTCTGGAAACCTACAGGAGGGCTAGTATGGGTCTGTTCCGACTCTCAGGTATACAATAAAACTAACTAAATGAACATAAACAGAGGGAGAACATATGAACAGGCCTGTCATAAAAGAATAAATTGAAAAAGTAATAAAAACACTCCCAATTAAAAAAATTAAAAGTCCTGGTCCTTTTAACTTCACCAGTAAATTCTGCCAAATATCCAGAGAAAGCCTGATACCATTTCTACTCAGAGTATTTCAGAATAAAAATAAAATATGGAATATACCTTAATTGATTCTATAAAGCAAAGATAGTTCTGATGCCAGGCAAAAATACTAATTAAAAAAACGCAATATATTTAAGGAAAATAGATGCAAAATTTGTTAGCAAAATCCTAGCCATCAAAATTCAACACCATATCAAAAAATCATTCATCATGATCATGTGAAATTCATACCAGGAATTTAAAGATGGATCAATATTAGAAAAACAAACACTGTAATCCACTACATCAATAGAACAAAGGAAAAGAGCCACATGGTAATTTTTTTCATATGATCATCTTAATGTAGAAAAGTCATTCGACAAAATTCAACATCAACTCCTGATAAAAGCTCTACTATAAGAAATAGAGGCTAAATTCCTCAGCATAATTAAAAGCATATATATAAAACCAATGGCTCACATTACTCTCAATTGAGATTGAAGACACTCTCCTTGTGAACAGGAACCAGATGAGGTGGCACCCAATGCCTTCTGTACAGTGTGAACTTCTATATTAAATCCTGGGTATATCAAAAGGCATAGCCAAAAGAAAAAAAAAAAGTTAAAAGAGCCCTTACAGACCAGAGGGAAATAATTTGACAATGATTGAGCTCTAAAATTTATTGAAATCTCCAACCCCTTAACAAGAAAAAAGATAAGCAACAAAATGGGAAGAAAACAGGAATAGACACTTCATCAAAGAAGGCATTCAGATACCAACAAACACATGCTCAAGATCATAAGTTACTGTTGTTAGAAGCTATCAAGTTGCATATGACTCAGAGAGACCCTATGAACAACAGACATGAACCCTGTGTCAGCTTCATAGTTTCCAACATACGAGAGCCAACTGTTTCGGTCATTGCGCTGGTCCATCTGGGTGAGCATCTTCCCATCTTTCACTGACCCACCACTTTTCCAGGCAAAATATACTTTCCAAGGAATAACCTCACTTAACCACTATTATCTGAAAGTCAAAACAACAATGACATACCATCTCACCCAGAAAAAAATAACGATATTCAATAAGATATCAAACAGCAAATGCTGGTAAGGGTGTGGAGAGATTGAAAGCCTTAGACATTTAAATCCATATTGAAGACTACAGTCCTTGACCTTCTGCAGCAGAACACTTCAGGTCTTCCTCGGTTTCAGCAAGTGAGGTTTTATCATCTGCATAACATAGGTTGTTGACGAGGCTTCCTCCAATACTGATGCCACTCATAAAATCCGGTCTCCCAAATGATCTGTTTCACATATAGAATGAAAAGATACGGAGACAGGAAGCATCTCTGATGCACTACTTTGCTGATTTTGAACCTGACACAGTAGGGTTGCTAGAAGTCAGAATCAACTCCACAGCAACTAAGTTTTAAAAGTCTGAAAGAAGGGGGGCAGTGTGAAAAAAACGAAATATCTGATCTAAGCTTCTGTGCAAAAAACCAGTGGATTCACATTGACCTGCTTTGGAGGGTCCTGCTTAGGTTTGGAACTGACTTCCCACGGGTGACCCTGGGCATGGATGGAGCCTTGGCCCTTGATGCATCTGGACTGAGAAATGATACTTTCATGTGCTGGTTCCTGCACATCTTCTGAGTCACTTGACCTGTGGCTCTTACTGAGAAGACAAGGGCCTCATCCCTCTGAGGGAAGGCATCCTATCCAGGGGTGGGCGGGCGTCTCAGGGCAGAAGTCTTGGATGGCAGCCTGGCCACCTGTGTTCTCTCCTCCGCATTCTCCCTTCTTCCCCAGGCCCTGCCCACCCCAACAGGCCACCAGCAGCTGATCACGTATGTGATGGCTTCCAGGCTCCACACGCCTTCCTGTTGAGGGTTATTGTCATTCCAGGATATACCTATGGATTTCATTTGGGAAGAATGGTAGCTACTGGATTCTACTCAGAAGTACCTGCACCAAGATGTGATTCTGAAAAGCTGTAACAATCTAGTTTCAGTGAGATATCATGATAGTAAACCCGATTTACCCTTCATAATGGAGCAAGGAGAAGAGCCATGGATAATAAACGCTACACTCTCCAGTCCAAGCTGTCCAGAGAGACAATGCATGCTGTCATCCTGGACCTGTGTCCACTTGGAAGTCCAGGATTTCCTGGACCTCCTGGATCAAGCATAGTACTTAACTTGAAGAATGCTGGGAAGAGTGGTACCAGAAAAGTGAAGATGAGCTTGAGAGTACTGAGAAAGGTTTTGCTTTCAGTGCATTTGTAAAACTTCATCTAAGCACAAACTATGTTTCTTCAAGACAAAGACTCCCTGAATATAATAGACATGAGAAAAGTGTGACACAAAACTTGAATTCTGCCAGAAACTGTATCAGAAAGATTCCAGTTAAGTGTCATGGCTGTGAAAGATCATATTTTCTTCAGCATCTCAGGGCTCATCCAATCGTAAAATACTGTGTATGTAGTGAATGTGGGAAAGCTTCACAGCTCATTGTACATCTCCATTTTTGACAACAATAACTTCACCATCATAGCTCTTGCTGAGCCAGAGTATTTCAGGAAAATTCCGCTTGCAGACCTGTATTATATTTGGACTTTAATGTGTACTCTAAGGCAGAAAAAAATTAACGTGTTTGAATTACGGTGTTAAGAGAACAGTACTGACTATCTCATAGACTTTCAAGTGAACAAACAGGTCTGTCTTGGAGAAGGTGAAACCAAGATGTTCCTTGAATGCAAGGATAGTGTCATTTCCTCTCACACACTTTGTGCATATTACCAGGAGGCAACAGTCCTTGGAGAAGGACATCATATTTAAAAAGGTGAAGGGTCAGCTTTCAAATTCTTCAGCTGCTCCACAGGAGAGGAGCATTCTCCTTCTGATTCACAGCCTCTTAGAAATCGCTGGAGGGTAAGCTATGAGTCATTTCTGACTCCACAGCACATACCAACCATTCTATACCTGAATAAGTTGTGATACGTGATCAGAATAAATTATATATAATTGATGCCATGTGTTTCACATTGTTTCCTTCCTTGAACTTTGCCCCATTTCCCTTTAGCTTTTCAGAAAGAATTAGATCATGTTCTCCTCTTGCTCAGGCTGTTCTTTTCCACCTAACACACCTAGAGTCCTTGTAATCGTTGTGAGTTGTCATCATATGGGATAGACCCCACACACGATGGAGCGAAACACTGGCTGGTTCTGAGTCACTCCCTTGTCAGGCTTGTGTGGTGGTTAAGTTGTGTCAGCTGGGCCAGACCTTGAGTCTCTGGTCTGGCAGTAATGTAATGATGTAATCCCGTCCGCACTCCCTTAATGTGGTCTGAGGTCATCAACCCCAATACAATATTAAGATATTAGGGTGAAATGTGACCCTTGTTATCCACTCACAACCCTGACCTGATGTAGAGGGAGTCATATCAAGGGTGTGGCCTGCATCAGATGTATGTAGACATTCTGGGAAAGCTCTCTAGCCTTTTGCTCACTCTGGATCCTGCATCTACTTCCTCTAACATCTTAGTTCCTGTTCTTGAGACTCTAGTCAGGGTCTTAACGTGCAGCTTGCTGATCTTGGAGTCTGTCACTGTCTGGTATTAGACTCGTCTGAGCCTGCAGCTACGAGTCAGAAGTTCCAGCCTGACGGCTGACTGGCCCGTGGACTTATCAGCCTTGACAAATAACTGAGCCACTTCCTGGAGAGAAATCTTTCCTTTTTTACCTTTCCCCCTCTTTCTAAGCTTCCCTGGTTATGTGTCTCTAAAGAACCCAGCCTAAAACAGTTAAAGATTTGGATTCTTGTGATTGATAAAAGTTTTCACGGATGCATTCTCTGAAGTAGATTGCCAGGTCTTTCTCCCTAGTTCTTCTTCATCTGGAAGTTCCTGCGGAACCTGTTTATCATCAAGACAACATGCAAGGCTCCACATGAGGTGCTCTGGATGAGACTCCGACACCTTTCACCTACATGGAAGACCAGAACGTTGCCACAGAAGCACAGCGTCCTGCTACAGCAGAAGGAATGTCCAGTTATTTGCTTCAGGTTAGTGTGAAGGTTAAAGTTGCTCCCCCTACTTCAGGGTTCCTAACTGCCTGACCCCAGGTTTTAAAAAAGAAAAAAAAAAGTCTAGTAAAAAACAAGTTTATTACAAATTTAATGAAATAAGGCTCTAAGGAGCATGCACACATAAATAGCAGCACTACTAAAATACTATATGAAGGGGTACTGCAAGCACGAGGACACAATCCTATACGAGGCTTACTGTGACTTGTTTTGATAGAGGAATCGCAGAGAGGAAGAAAAGTCTGATAGACACAAAGTAATGTTTCCTAATCGGGATGATAGAACTGTTCATCTGGTCTCAGGCATATGCTTCATAAAGACGGCCTCTGGTCTTAATGCCTGAATTAAAATGGCTATCCCAGCTTTGCTGCAAGTCTTCCTGAGCTAATGAATGAGCAGTGACTGTGATTATGCGGCCACCTCTGAGGCACTGACAGCTACCACTACCACCTGCAGAAGAGATATTTGGGAATGTGGTGGGCCTGCACCCCCTGGCGCGGTGGGGTGGGGAGGCAGGACTGGGCAGAGGGCTTATTCTATCCAGGGAATTTGGCCAGGCGGCGCTTAGCTTGGGCCAGCCGTGCCAGCCGTTCCTTCAAGAGCTTCCTCTTGTCTTTGGTGTCAAGTTGCTCCTGCAGGAGCCAGCCGTAGTTGTCTTTTTCCTGTAACAGCTGCAGCATGCTCTTCTGCAGCTGTTCGCTGTACATCTGCAGCATGAAGTACTGGATGATCAGAGGGATGTGGTTGGAGAGGCGATTCTTGACTTCCTACAGGAAGGAACAGTGCACAGAGAAGTTGGGGAAGATTCTGCATCATGGCGGAATGGATCTGACCCCACCACCTGCTAAAGGGCTGAACTCTGTCCTCCCAAAAATATATGTTGCAAATCCTCCGCACTGCTAATCCAAAAGCCACACCTCCCTGGTGGTTCAAATCCACCAGGAGCAACATGGGAGAAAGAAGAGCCATCTCTTCTGGTGATTTACAGCCTCAGAGACCTTATGGAGTGTCAGCCATGAGTCTTGTGACTTGAGGGCATTTGGGAATAGGGATTGGGTATGTTAGTAAAACCCTATCAGTGTGAAGAGTGACTGAAACCTAACTGCTTTTAAGATCTAAGTGGAGTAGCTTAGGCTCAGAAGTAAGAAAGCAGAATCAGAAAAGATAGTGTGGCAATCACCTCAGAGTGTTGGGAGGAACACTAGAGAAACTGAGGTAAGGCTGTTTCCCAGAGTGGACAGAAAGCACCTCTCCCTCGTCAGCACCCGGAGTGCAAACACTGAGCCTCCTAAAATGGGAGGCAGCTGCCTTTGATTGAGGGGGTCTGGTTTTCCTGCCTGTCCCTGTACAGCATGCACTGTACATCTGAGAGGTGGTGAGCGGCCACTGTGTTCCAATATTGCCCGAAGGGATCTGCGTACGGTTGACAACAAACACCCGACAAAACACAAACCAAACCCACTGCCACTCAGTCAGTTTCCAGTCACAGCAATATCCCCACAGTTTCCAGGGCTGTATGTCTTTATGGGATAAGACTGACCATCTTTCCTATGACATAGCTGGTGGATTCGAACTATCAACCTTTCAGTTAGAGCACACTACACCAACTATGAAAAGACATCCCTTATTACAGATTGTGTTGTATCCTTCAGAAAGTGCTAATCCCTGGACCTGGGAATTAGGAGAGTAGTCAGTTAAAGTCATACTGAAATGCACCAAGTCCTGCCCTAATCTAAGCAGTGTCTTATAAGAGGAGAAGACAGAGACAGGTGGGGGAGATAGCAGAGAGAGGTCTCTACATGAAGATGTGTTCACAGGCTACCAGAAGCTGAAAGAGACCAGATATGCTCCTTCCCTGAAGACTTAAAATGAACATGGATCTGCCAACTTAACTCGCTGCCATGGGGTCAGAATCAGCTCATTGCTGACCCTCCACAGGGTATCTGAGGCTATAAATCATACAGGAAGACACTGTACATCTTATCAGAATTGCTGGTGGATTTGAACCACCAGAGAGATATGGTCTCTGGGCTAGCAGTGCAACTTGCTGTGGATGCCAGAGTTCCTATGCTCTTAAAAACAACCCAATTTATGTTACTTTGCTACAACATTCCTAGGAATTTGCTACATCATTTTATGGGGGTGGAAGGGTGGGGAGGACAAGGCTCAGAGACTTCAAGTACCTTGACCGGAGCCCACAACCACTGGTCAAAACCAGATGCCAATGGCATAAACCCTGGCCACATGAGGTCAAGCTGCTTTTACAAAGTACACTTATCAAGGGCTGAAAGATGGAGCTAACACCACTTACAGAAACAGCAAGATGCAAGGAAGGGGCAGTCAGGAGGAAAGAGCACGAAATGAAGACTCTATCCTGACATCCATTTGTAAACCCACCTGATGGTAGGCGAGCACGTGCTGAAAGATTTCCATCTTGAAGGAGTTCTCTGAAGAATCGGACTGATAGTTTGAGTACTTTGATTTTTTCTCCTCTTCCTCTGCTTCCTTCTTCCTGACCTCCTTCAGCGAGTCACTATAAACTCCATCCTGGCAGTAGACAATCTGCTCCATTCTGAAATGCAGTCGGATGGACTTCTCGGCTTCCTCCTCTTGTTCTAATTTAATGTCCTCGATTTTGGACTGTGGCAAAAAAGAAACACAGCTACATTTTCCTCAAGAAAGTAATCAATGGGTGACCATAAAACTCAGCAGATGTTAGCTTATGTAATGTGTGGAAAAATGGCACAAGCGTCCACTTCCTGCCCTCCACATTCTCCAGAATACCCCTTGAGGCCTGGGCTACCCCCAGGGTCAAGGGCCCACATTGTACTCTGTTCTCAGGCCAGTAAGGCAGGTTCTCCCCTTGGTATCCTGGTTCTACCCACAGAGGCTCATGGGGAAGCCCACTCAAACCAGACCTACTGGTAAGGGGTCAATTCTGGCTCTTAGTGATTCTACAAAACAGAGTAGACTTGCCTCACAGGATTCTCATTCATAATGGAAACACACTGTACATTTTGAACCAATGACCTTTCAATTGGCAGCCTAGTGCTTTAACGACTGTGCCATCAAGGCTCCTCACAGAGTAACCAGGGGTGTGAAATTTCAGTCAGTCAAGTCATAGCCTTCAAGTGGAGAGAGCCTTCCCTGACAATAATTTGAAGCCCGTGACTTCATGCAAGGCACAGCAACAGGCACCCAGGATACCTTCCTGTGACAGCATCTTCTAAGGAAAGTGGTATTGTTGTTGATTGCCTTTGAATCGAGCATTACTAAGAGCAACCCCATGGACAAAAAAAGGCCTGAAGTCCCTCTACAATGACTGACATTTATCAGATCATAGAGTTTCCAGAGGCATGTTATTTAGGAAGTGGATGCCACTCTTGCTTCCAAACCTGTCATAGTATGTTATTGTTGTTGTGTGCCACCGAGTCGCTTGCGATGTATAGTGTCCCTATGTACAGAAGCTCTGAACCTTTCCCTGTCCTGAGCCAGTCTCACTGACTCCAACACACCAACCCCCATCACCTCAGATACTGTTATCAATCCATCTCATCCTGGGTCTCCCTCTCCTGCACTGTCCATCCACCCTTCTGAGCATGATGTCCTTCTCCAAGGATTGATTTCTCCTGGCCATGTGCCCAATGTAAGTGAGGCAAAGCTTCAAAATACTACCTTACAAGAAGAGACTTGGTTTCACCCTCTCCAAGACAGACCAATTTGTTTTCTTGGCAGTCCATGGTATGTTCAAGACTCTTCTCCAGCACCACAACTCAAAGGCATCTATTCTTCTTCTGTCATCCTTAGTCATTGTCCAGCTCTCTGATGTATAACAAGTAATTGAGAAGACCGTGGCCTGGATTAGACAGACCACCTTTGTATCTAGACTGACATCGTTGCTCTTCAGACCTCTGGAAAGATACATGACAGCATATTTCCCCAAGGCAATTTGTCTTTTGATTTCCTGACTGCTGGTCTTAAGAGTGTTGATTATGGATCCAAAAAAGCTGTAACTGCTAACAACCTCAATCTCTTCTCCATTTATTATGGTGCTGCCAATTGGCCCAGTGGTGAGATTCTTTGTCTTCTTGATGTTGAGCTTCAATCCATATTGAAGACTACAGTCCTTGAGCTTTTGCAGCAAGTGCTTCAGGTCTTCTTCAGTTTCAGCAAGCGAAGTTGTGTCATTTGCATAACGTTGGTTGTTAATGAGTCTGCCTCCAATCTTGATGTCATACTCCTCCTCATAAAGCCCTGCTTCCCCAATGATCTGTTCTGCATACAGATTGAAAAGGTATGGGGACAGGATGGATCCCTGATGCACCCCTTTCCTGATTTTCAATCATGAAGTATTTCCTTGCTCTGCTCCGAGGATTCTTGGTCAACGTATAGATTTTGTATAAGCACCATCAAGTGTTCTGGGATTCCCAGTTTCCTCAAGGTTAGCCAAAATTTATTGTGATCCACACAGTCAAATGTCTTTGCATAGTCAATGAATCACAAATAGACATTCTTCTGATACTCTCTGCTTTCGGCCAAAATCCATCTGACTTGGCAATAATATTCTCTTCAAAACCCAGACTGTGTTTCTGGTAGTTCTCTGTCAAAGTACTCTTCAAGTCTTTTCTGAATAATCTTCAGCAAGATTTGAAAGTACAAAACAGTTAAGGGGCATGGCCCAAACCCTCCAGCTGGTGAATGGAGGAATCCTTGGTCTAAAGGTGGGTCAGTCTGCTCTCTGGCCCTGCCTGCCTCTCAGGGAAGAGTCCTCCTACCCTATCAACTAACTCTCTGCCTTCATTTCTATATGTGGTTTCCTTCATGAGGTTCCAGCTTCAGAGGTATTTTATCCACATGTATGTAGCCTCTCTTAACATTCACTGGGGTTCTCTTGTGTTTCTTTGGTATTAAATATTCTATTTTCAAATTCTCTCCCCTTCAGCCTTTGCAAACAGCAACTGGTTAACTGTTGCATCACTAACTGGCACATCATTAAGTGACACAGGTTAGCTGCTGATATAACCAAGATGATTCCCCAGTGACTTTGTTTATTTGCTTTGTCCTTATACAAAGTGAGGAGATGGCTTTGAAATGGTTTTGATTCAAGAAAATAATTTCCTGGTATCAGATTCCCCCCAGCCCCTATAGTTACCATCAGTTACCTTGGCTGTTTTGTACAGATTAAAATACTCATTAAAATTTTTCTTCAAAGCATTTGTGAAAGCAATCCGGATCAAATCTGAAAGAAAGAAAATAAATTCACTATTGGTTGAATCATTCATAATCTTCATATCAAACATGAACTCTCTGCTTTAAGTCATAACCAACTCGTATCAAACGTCCATGTTTCTGAGGTCAAGTCTCTGTGGAAGGACACATACCATGTTTCTCTCCTTTAGAGTGGCTGGTGGGTTAGAAAGCCTGGCCTTTCTACTTTCAGTCTGACAGGTATCCAATTATACCACCAGCACTCCTGATAATCATCACAGTTGTTGTTGTTTTTATTGTGTGCTAATCCTCCTCTAAGTGGTTTCGCACAGGAAGATATTGCCCATCTTTCTCTTGTGGAGTAGCTAGTGGTATAATCTTCATAGATATGACAAATAAAGAGGATAAAATGGTGGGGAACAATGTTTCCCTCTAGTTATGTATGTGCTCAGTAATGCCGGTAAATCAGCATCATGCATAAGGCATTCTTATGTTTCTTCTGCAATGAAAGTTAGCCACAGAGGCAGATATTTCTTTCTTTTTTTTTTAAATTGATTTTATGAAAGTTTACAGAGACTTAGGGTTTCCATTCATTCATTGTTTCACTTTTCTCCCTACCCACTCCCTCCCCCTCAATTCACTCTTTTCCTTGAAAAATTTAAAAAAAAAAGAAAAGTAAAAGAAAAACTCTTTCATTGTTATGCAATCCCTCCCCCCAAGGCCACTCCACTGTGCAGCCTTCATTCTGGACTCCTGTCAGGACAAAAATACCAAATCACATATCCCTTTTAAACCATTCTCTCCTTCATCTATTTCAATGCAGTATACATCATTCCTCCCCTCCTCCTCTGTTGTCCCTCAACCTCAATGTCAGTCCCGTTTTAAAACAGTGGCACTATGCAGTATTTGTCCTTTTGTGACTGAGATATTTCCTTAGCATAATGTCTTCCGGAGTCTTCCATTTTGAATAATATTTCATGAGTTCCTTGCTTTTCAATACTGCATAGTATTCCACTATCTGAATATACCAGAGCTTCTCTATCCATTTGTTTGTTGATGGGCACTTGGGTTGTTTCCAGCTCTTTGCTATTGCGAACAAAGCCACGATAAACATGGGTATGCATAGATATTTCTTATGCAGAGGAGATGTAGGGAAAATAGTCCATATGGCAATTAAGTTGTTGAATGATCTCAATCTTCCAGCTAGTGATGGAAAAGGCAACAGTGAACAGAAACTCCTCACTGTCCCTTGTTGGCTCTTAAGAGAATGCCACACTGGCCATCCCCCAGTGACACTTCTGTTATAATGGAACTTAACAAAAAACTCACTGCTGTGGAGTTGGAATCAACTCACAGTTGACTTTCCAGATTTCTGAGATTCTAAAATCTCATAGGAGGAGATTGTTCATCTTCCTCCTGATAAAGCTCAGAGAGGCACTGCTTTTGGGCTAATAGCACAGCACCCTATGGACTAGGCCAGCAATGTTCCCTATAATGGTACTCTTGCTGTTTGCTAGTGTTATGTGCTATCAAGTCAGCCCCAATTCACAGTTGACCTTCTCGTGGGTTTTCAGAGGTTATAAATTGCCTGGGAGGAGACTGCCCATCTTTGTCCTGCGGAGCACCTGGTGGGTTCAAACTGTGTGTCTTTGGGTTGATCATGAAGCTTCTTACCACTAGAGCTCTAAAGGGACTTAGAAGTATACAATTCCTGCATTTAGAAATGGAAACAAGTACATAAGGAATTGGTAAACAACCTTTAAGGTGGTTGACTTTGACTCTACACATTGTGGGAAAAGAAATGTTAACAAACGAGTTAATCTTCCTCACACTGAAGATCGACCACCTGCCCACAACCACTGATCTTGGATCCCAGTAGCTAAAAGGGAGGGACCGCCACTGAATTGGAACCGTGGCCAAATCTTCTTCCCAAGACCTTGCAGTAAAGGTAAAATCCTGAAGTCTATAGATTTGGACTCTAACCACTATACTGACAACCTAATAATCTATTCTGACTCTTGATTTTAAATGAACATCTGTGTCTTACTTGCAATCCCTTGCCACAACTACCTTGCAATAAGCTGAACAAGGTTATGCATGTCAAACCTGATTATTTCCCAAAAGAGAAGAAAATCCTACAAGACACTTCCCTCTACCCTCTCTTCTCCATTCCTTCCTTCTTCACCATTTCCCTTCTAAAGCTGGAGGGTGTTTTCCTTTGTCCAGTACTCTTCAAACATTCTTCTTTCCCCCAAACATTTTTTGTAAAGGAGCTCTCAGGCAGAATTTAAAAATACAGAATGGTCCCTGGCGTACCTTTATCTGACATATAAAATTTCTGAGTTGTAATAGTGGCAAAACCAGATTCATTCCAGTAAATTGTGACTATATTAATAAAAGAAAGAAAGAGAGAGAGAGAGAGAGAGAAAGCTCTGGTGGTCTAGTAGCAAGAAGCTGTGCTACAATCCCAAAGGCACATTGTTCGAGGCAAGGATGGGCAATCTCCTCCTGTGCAATTAACTACCTCTGAAAACCTGCCAGAGGGTCAGCTGTGGGTTGGTTCCAACTTGACTGTAAACAACAACACAAAAATAATATATAATATTATATAATAAAACATTGCTTTTCAATCAATGAAATGTTAATGACCACATAATGCATTTTTAAAAGTAATTCACAATCAAGCTTTTGGTTAAATCAGAACTTGTCCATTCCTTATTTTTAAAGCAGTTTTTGAAACTTATTTCCATTCCATTTCTTTACCTAATGATATCCTAATATACAATATTTGTATGTTGGACAAGCTTTCGGAATCTCCATAGCCTATCTTTTTAAAACATAGGACCTAAGAACTGATGCTTTTGACTTGTGGTGTCGATGAGGAGTATTGAGCACCATGTAGCCTGCCAAAAGAAGAAATAAGTCTGTCTTGGAGGAAGTACAGACAGGAAGCTTCCTTAGAGGCAAGGATAGTGAAACGTCACCTTCTACGTTTTGGGCCTGTTGTTGGGAGGGGCAGGTCCCTGAAAAAAAGTGGGGTTTTAAGGAAGGCAGTGAGAGTCCTCAAGGAGATGGATTGACACACCGATTACAAGCATGGACACAGCAGAGATTGGGAGGATGGTGCAGGAAAGGACGAGGTTTCAGCCTGCCATGCACAAGGTCACTCTGAGCTGTAGTCAATAGCACCTAACAAGAACCCGGCCTACTTTTCTAAAACAGAGGAATGCCTAGTCTGTGAAGCCTGTGAGAGCTGAAATCCAGTGGGCTTGCCTTTTTCTGGTTTTCCAAGTTCTTTACTTTTGACAGGACATCTATTAAGAATCTTACTTCACTTCCGTGTTCAGTTTTCCGTCTCCTGAGGAGCCCTGGCATCATACCAGGTTCTGTCTCTGGAGGAGCCCTCACTGTTCACGATAGCAAAGAGATGGAAACATTCTGACACACATAGACTTGCCATGCACTGGGGCAACTGAAAGGTCAGCAGGTTAAATCTACCAGTGGCTCCACCAGAGAAAGATGGGAAATGTCCTCCCATTAAGATTTATAGCCTGCTCATCGGCAAGTTTGCCAAGCTTGGCTTTGCTTGTTGGGTTCTTTTTCTCCAGACTCAGACAGGATTCTGCCTTACACAGAGTCTGCTTTTCCCAGGTTTTACTGTATAAACACTAAACATTTCCCAAAACATTTAACAATTAAAACACTTTCCATGTAGGGCATTTATAGCTTTGAGTAATAAAAAATTACTTGTAGAGTGAATTCAATAAAAGAAAGTCAAACTCACTGTCAGGGAGTCAGATATGACTCCTAGCTGTCCACCTGCCAATGGATCTCAGAGGCTGTAAGTGGCATAGGAGAAGAAAACCCATCATTCTGCTGATGTTGGATCTGAAGCACTAGAGAGGAGTGGCCTTTGTGTTAACAGCACAACTCCCTATGGACTACACCACCAGAGCTCCTAATTCTCACCAGGGAATGGTGGCCTAGTGTTAAGAAGCTGTGCTGCAATCCAGAAGGCACACAGTTCAAATCTACCAGGTGGTCTGCGGGAGAAGGATGAGCAATCTCTTTCTGTGTGATTAACTGCCTCTGAAAACCTGCTGGAGGGTCAACTATGGGTCAGTTCTGACTTGATGGTACCCTACAATTCATTCTAGGGAGCTCTGTTGTTTGGTTAACCCAAAACCTGGTGTAGGTGAATTAATCTCAATGCATGGCAAGTCTATTGAGTGTCAGAATAATCCTTCCATCTTATTCACTGTTGATGGGAGTGTAAAATGGTGCAACCACTGTGGAAGGCTGTATGGCGCTTTCTCAAAAAGTTGCAAATAGAGATACCATTTGACTCAGCAATTCCACTACTGGGAATATATCCCAAAGAGACCACAACTGACATCCACGCAGATACATGCACACCCATGTCTATCACGGCTCTGTTCACAATAGCAAGGAGTTGGAAACAATCCAGGTGCCCATCAACAAACGAATGGATAGAGAAGCTGTGGTCTATTCACACAATGGAATACTACGCTGCATTGAAAAACAAGGAACTCATTCAATATTATTCAAAATGGGTGTGCCTGGAGAACATTATGCTAAGTGAAATATCTCAGATGCAAAAGGACAAATATTGCATGGTGCCACTGTTGTAAAATGGGACTGATATCAGGGTTGGGGTAAGACTGAGAAAAACTGGATAAATTGTGTATACTGCACTGAAACAGATGAGGGACTGAATAATTTAAAAGCGATGTATGATAGGGTCTTATGGTTATCACAGGAGTCCACAATTAAGGTTGCATAGTGGAATGTACTTGGGGCGGTGGGAGGAGGGCGGGGGGACTGTGTACCAGGGAAGGAATGTTTCTTTTACTTTTGAAAGAGAGGAGTGAACTGGGGCGGGGGGGAGGGATGGGCGGGAAGAGAAGTGCAGCAATGAATGAATGGAAATCCAAGATCTCTGTAAATGCTCATTAAAATTAATTTTTGTGAAAAAGAATGCAGCAATAAACATGGGTGTGCATACATCTGTTTGAACTATGGCTCTGGTTTCTTTAGGGTATATTCTCAGTAGTGAAATTGCTCCATCAAATGGTATTTCTATATCCAACTCTTTTTTTAAACAGTTAAAAAATTTTAATATGATACTTCTTAAGTGAACAGCTCTAACTCTAAAAGCCTATCCTTGAGAAAGCCTATACTGTGAGCAAGAAAAAGCAACAAGAACCAATCATTAACTCCTTCTGTCTGTTTGTTTTGCTGGAACGCTCAAGTTTATTGAAACTGTTACAGAATAGCAGACAGACTCAGATAACTCTATGCAGTGTTTTGAAATTCATTTCAACTATGGGCTCAGTGACCTGCAGGTTGGACAGACTGCCAAAGCCCTGGAACTGCAGCATTTCCTTACTATCAGGATCTACTTCAATGACCCAGGGCAGAAACCAACTGTCTCTCCTTTCTTTCTCCTCATCCTGCAGCTTAATGGAGACGCCTCTCACAGGCCCTCTCTGAATCTGCTTCATCAGCTGTGTGACATAGCCCGCTGTCTTGTTCTAAAGCTTCTTGCTGGGAATACTGGTGATCTCCTCACACACGCGCTCGTTGGTGTGGAAGTCACAACCCAGGTGCATCAACTCCCTTTCACGTACATGGACCAGCAGCGTGGACAAGCACATGTTTGGTTTTAACATATATCTAGACACAGAAAATCAAACACCTCTCTCTCTTTCGTTTCCACCAAATACTCCATTCAGAGTAATCTACAACATTCCCTGAGCAGATTAGGAGTGCCTCAAATTAGACTGAAACATCAATTTCTTGTCTCTTCACTTCCTGGGCAACCTTGTTTGGTATCTACATACCTTCCTTGATAACAATCCCAATACTTGCTGCTTTTCCTTTAAATGTGAACAAATTACAAAATAATTTTGTACTCTAAATTACTAGATGTTTATATTTTGCTGCTTTATGTTATTCTACAGTGCTTTCTAATCATCTTTGACTCATGTTATTTTTGTTGTTAGGTGCTGTCGAGTTGAGTACAACTCATAGAAACCCTATGAACAACAGGTCTGACTCCTGCCTTATCCTGTGCCATCCTCACTATCTCCAATACACTTGAGCCCATTGCTCCAGTCACCATGTCATTCCATCTCCATGGGGTCTTTCACTCTTACACTGACCGTCCATCTTTTCAAGCATGGTATTTTTTCCCAAGGAATAACTTCTCCTAGCAACATGCCCAAAGTATGAGAAATGAAGCTTTATCATTTTTGTCTCCAAGGAGCACTACAGCTGCAACCTTTTCCAAGACATACATGTTTGTTGTTTTGGAAACCCAGGGGATATTCAGTGATCTTCCCCAACAACATACCTCAAAAGCATCAATTCCTCTTCTGTCATCCACTGTCCAGCTCTCAAATGTATAGCAACTGATTGAAAAGACCATGGTCTGAATCAGGCCCAGCTTTGTCTTCAAGCTGACATCATTGCTCATCAGTATTTTGGAGAGGTCTCTGACAGAGGACTTGCCCAAAGCAATATGTCTCTTTATCTCCCATAGAGGCTATTCCCAAATTTTTGAGAATATGCCAGACTGCCTTCCATAGAGGGTGCATCATCTTCTACTCCAACCAGCAGTGAATAAGAGTTCAAATCTTTCCACAACCTCACCAGCATTTGTTATTTGCTGGCCTGTTGAACTTTGCTATTGTTGTTGGGGTAAAAGGAGAGCCCATAGTTGTCTTGATTTACATCTCTGATAGCTAGGGATTTTGAACATTTCTTTAGGTGTTTGTTTGCCATCTGAATGTCTTCCTTGGTGAAGAAGAGCTCTTCTTGCTGTGTTCCATAGGCTTCTAGTGGCTGATCTTTCAGAGGTCTATCAGCAGGCCTTTATTCCAAGGCTGGACTCAACCTTTTGTTTCATAATAGAGTACGTTTACTATTTGTACCTTCTATAAACTCACCAATCTACTACTCACATGTGCCTTCAACTGACTCACATTGCACTTTGGAATACTCTGTATATGTCCAGGACTTTCCACCAGTTAGTCATTGACCTTGCTTCTGAGAATATTGAGAGTAAGAGCGTAACCACAGCAGCAATGAAGAGCGGAGAAGAACTTGGATATCTGATCCTAGTTTAATTCAACCCATTCCCACCCCCAGAAATAAAAAGTCTAAAGGGAAACCAAGAACTCACCGGTTACAGTGTGAAGCAAGTCCACAGCAGGTTCTTCCAGCTTTTTGATTTGCCTTTTAATAATCTTTTCAAATGTCTGATAATTCACAAAGCCTGGCAGCTCCCGGCCACGGTACCGATTTTCAAACAGCCTGATTTCCTGACACATGGTTTCATAACCTACAATGGAAAAGAACCATTCTGAATGGCTTCACAGAAAAAAAAACACATTACAGATGGGTAGATTTTCCAAAATCATAAAGTGGCAAGAGAAATTGGAAGGTAACAACAACAAAAAATACTCAAAGGTTGCCATAAAGAAATGGATCTCAAGATAAATGCTCTTTAGTATCCCCAGGAAGTAAAGGCAGAGCGGAGGTGCCACTGAGAGCTGTACATGAGGACACATAGTGCAAGACAGTCCTGCAAGGGTACCACAAGCTGGATTTTTACCAAAGAAATAGATTTGATGGCAGTGGGTTTGTATTCTCTCTCTCTCACACTCTGTGTGTGTGTGACTTATTCAAGGTTGTTATGGTTTAATTACAAAAGGAGAAAACCAAATCCAGTACCATCGTGTCTATTCCAACCCATGAGACACAGAGCAGCACTGATCCGTATCATGCTCTTGGTTGCCATCTTTTAAAAAAGCAGACGACCAGGCCTATCTTCAGAGGCACCAGTGGTTAAGTTTGAACCAACTGCCAGTCTTTAGGTTAGTAACCAAATACAAACCATTGGCACTGCCCAGGGATCGTGGCCGCTAAAGTCCCTGTGAGTACTCAGCTGGTAAATGCAGAACCAGCCTTGTTTCACCTGTTATTGCTAGGCCAAGAACTCGTCCACCTCTCTGGACATGGGCACTCCTGTAAAAGCCCTGCAAGTACTTTCAGCCAGTATGTGGATTCTCAAATACAGAACCTGTGGATAGACTGACTGAGGCAGATCATATCCTTTGTCCAGAGAGATATGTCCTTTGAAAAGCAGAAATGACTATGGTAAGACACAGGACTGATGTTCATCACAGATTCATGTGCTGGAGCTTCAATATAAAATGCTTACACACCAAGTGGGTAGCACTTAACATCATTTGATGCATGGTTGTTTACTGTATGAATTAAAAGACCTCATGGCTATCAAGTTGGAACTAATGAGGAGCTGGCGCTCCAGTAGATTCCCAGGAGGCTGTACATCGCAGAAGAGAGTGCTCATATTTCTCCCTTGGAGCAGCTGGTAGATTCGAATCACCAGAGGGGTGCTTGCTGCCTTTGGGTGAGCAACGCATCTCCTTAAGGACTGACTACATCATGAGAGCTCTGTTTAATGTATAAAAATACTTATTTATCTTTACCTTACGGTTTTGTAATTTTTTTAATCCCAACAGACTGGGCTTTGAAGAAACACCAGCAGCAGGGCTTTCCAGGGTGCCTGGAAGAAATTCAAGGGCTCTGGGTCTGCATAGCAATGTCTGGGTCTTGGTTGTGTCTCCTTTAGAAAAAAGGCCGAGGACCGTAGAGTCTGGCATGTTCTTGTTGTTGAGAGACTATATGCCGTGTTGCTGTTGTATACCATTGAGTCAAAACTGGCCCAAAGCTGACCCTCCAGCAGGTTTTAAACGGTACTTAATCACATGGGAGGAGATTGTCCATCCTTCTCCCACGGAGCAGCTGGTGGATTTGAACTGCGTGCCTTCGGGATTGCATTGCAGCAGCTTCTTGCCACCAGGCCACCAGAGCTCCTACTGCATGCCACAGGCATTTATTTTATTGACAAATATTCCAAATACTTTTAAGATTCACCTTAAGTAAGTGTACAAAGGAGCCATGGTTCTGCAGTGATTAATCCCTCAGCTAAGTGACAAGGTGGCAGTTATAGCCATATAAATGGAATCATTACACATGTAGCCTCGTGTCTGGTTCTCTAAATCGACACAGTATTTTCTAGGTTCATCCAAGTCTAAGGGTGCCAGAACTTTCTTCTTCCAACTAAACACTCTGCCAGTATTTGCACACAACCTACTCTCAGGCTCACCTTGCTGAAAATACTTTTCTGTTATTTTGCTCCAATTGCTGAACTGCTGCCGTATGCTGTTAAACAGCCGGGTCTCATCTCTCTCTACTGACTCCTCTCCTTGAACTAAAGCAAAGATATCCCGGATAAACATATTGATTTTCTGTCAAGAAAAAGAAAGTCAGCATCAGCGGAGATACTCAAGCTTGAAGCTGCGATCTGGAGGATGGTGGGTGCATGTGTTGACTGTGGGCTGCTGGGGCAACATGGAAAAGCATAGGTGTTCGCAGAATGTCCCGTGTCTCAGGTGAGGATGCTGTGTCAATGTGGTGAATGTGACCATTACATGACAGACATACCTTCCCTGCTGACTCACCCTCTCTGCTCTCTACCCAGCAGGCTAATCTTTCTCTCCACCATTTAGTATATGAAGTGGTGACAGGTGTGTGGGTCACTTTGGGGTGAGGAGAGAAGTGTGTGGGCAGGTATTTGACCCCCTGTTTGTTTGTTTTTTTGTAAAATTATTATTTGAGTGTAAGTTTGCAAAGCAAACTTGTTTTCCACTTCCCCATTCATAGACATATTATTTCATGAGATTTATTACAATACTCACACTATAACCACACTCTTCCCACTTCCTCCTTGCGATTCTTATTTCCATCCTTCATCTACCCTGTCCTTTTCTGCCTTCTGAGCACTACTCCTGTGCAGATGCTGCATTGTTGTCTTATATGACTCACTATTCTACGATGTGGCTGAAAGTAGATCCACAGGGATGAGTTATGTTCTAGGTGCAAAGGGGACTAAAGGCTACTGTCTCGGAGCTTCCATCTGTCTCTGTTTTGAGCAATGTTGTGTGAGTCTCTGTCAATGCAGAGGCAGTACTTACATCTATTAGAAAGATCATCTTCTCGTTATCCTCCTCGGGTATCCCCATGCCATACTTTTTTAACTCCTCCATTATCATATCGTGTTTCTCTTTTATCTGGTTTTCCAAGTACGGCAGAGTTTTCTGTAGAAAGTGGAGAGAAAACAATGGAAATACATTATGCCACCAGGAATGAAAAGGAGAGGATCTCGAGACTCCATTGGCAAGATGCAAAGGAGCTGTCAGCAGATTTGACTTCCAGCCTCCTCGAACAGGGGGGTGCTGTTGCCGGCAGGCAAAGGGTCTACTGGAGGCCGTGGGTTTTCGTTTAGGTCTCCCTGCGAACACAGCCGCACACCACTCTCACTGAACTTACACAGATGTGTGTGATGAGTTCCGAGGTGAGTCTTTCTGCCAGACAAGGAATGGTGGCCTTTCCTTCCTCCAGAAGACCGCTGAAAGAGACCAGAGCCTGGACTTACACTTGATGCAGTCATAAAATGCATCTTGTCATTCTTGATATGTGGTTACTAGTCACCACTGAGTTGACAAAGACTCATAGTGACCCTACGAAGTGCAGATCAAAATCGTGCCCTATCCTGCACCATCTTCATGATCTCTGCCATGTGCAAGATCATTGCTGCAGTCACTAGATATCAATCCATCTTCTGAGAGTCTTCCTCTCTTTGACTGACCTTCCTCAACTATTGATATCTTTATAATCATGAAATAAACTCAAGGCCTAGCCATTACATCCAACCGAGTGGGATATTTTGCAATTGAGATGAAATAAACATTCAGAATTGGACTATATACAGTCTCTGGATTGTAAAAATGTTGGATATTTTACAATGATATAAAATTATCTCTTCCAGCTAACATCATAAATGTGTCTCTCAGGATATCTGACTGCAGAATTAGAAAAACAAGCAACAAAAATTCAATGTTTGCAATCGAGTCAATTCTGCCCTGTGACAACCCCACACATGTGTCAGAGTAGAACTGGGCTCCATGGGGTATTTTTTAATGTTTAGGATCTTCCAGAAATAGCTCATGAAGCCTTTTTTCTGGGGCATCTCTGGGGTAGATTCAAATCGCAAACCTTTTGGTTAGCCGTCAAAGGCTTAACCCTTGTATGACAAAGATTCCTGACTATTGAATAGGTCTTTGTAAAAAAGCATGTACACAATTTTTGTTATAACATGCACACTCCTATATGTGTAATGTGTATATAAATAATTCATATACATATATATATAAATTTTAAAAAATCACAAGTGTGTAAGTGTGTGCATGAATCATGACATGAGTGTAACACGTGTTCCCTAAAGATAAGAGGGTAAACTAAGAATTGACTGGAATACAGAGTTTGTGGGGATCTGGGAACAGAGCCCCTTCTCACTGTATCCAAGGTATTCCCAGGGTGAGGTATCACAGCTCTCTAGCAGGGATTGGTGATGAACTGGCAGAATTCTCGCCTTCCATGAGGGAGACCTGGGCTTGATTCCCAGCCAGCACACCTCACACAGCCACCACTTTGCTGTCAGTGGAGACTAGTGTGTTGCTATGATGCTGAATAAGTTTTAGTGGGGCTTCCAGGTCCAAATGGACTAGAAAGAAAGGCTTGGTGATTTACTTCTGAAAATCCAGGCCCCTCGGTACCTAGCTTCAGCCCAAGCCTGGACTCATATACCTACAGATATGTCTTGCAGGGAAGAGACAGGTTCCCAGTCAAACTCCAGCTCACAGTGAGAGGTCTGAGGGTGAACTGGCAGAACCCAGCGAAGAGCCCTGAAGCTCTGCTGTCAGAATCAACATCATTTTCTCCTTGTGCATGTGGTTAACATGATTTAGGGTCTTTCTACAGCTGTTAGCAACAAAACCTAGATTCTAAAGGACTTTTGGGATAAAAGTTAATAGAGAAGCATCAGTTTACATGTTATTTTGTGAGAATCCACTCACATCTCAGCCTCCACTTGCACATTTGTCCACTCATTGCTGTATGCATCTGAGAGAAATGACTACCAGAGCTCAGACTACAGGGACATCGCTCTTTACACACAGGCCTGCATGCAATCTCAGTGAACATGTTGCATTGCTCCAATCCTAATATCAACACCCTTTCCTGCCAACACACAGTTCTGCTACAGCTTTTAATGGCTGCAAACACCGCGAGGACTCAAAACTAGAATTCCCTGATTTTTTACATTTAGAATACTCCCAATTTTTCATGATTATAAACAAAATCCTTTAGCAGACACACCCACACACATCTCTAATTATTTTCTGGACTGCTTTTCTAATTCCTGGAGATGGAAATGGGAGCCACAGAGAGCACCTCTCCCAGAATGGGATGCAGGCCCCTGCACAGAAAGCTGTGCCACCCATGCCTGCTCCTATCAGATTACGTGAAAACCTCCTTTCCCACTGCCTGTTCAACAATGCTGCATCTTCTCATTTTAAACCTGACCATGCTAACTACTTAAAAAAAATTTTCACATTAGATTTCAGAGTTGGAAGGGGAATCCCCATTGAAGGATTAGAAAGTTATGAACTATCTGTATTTCTTTTGGGACTGCTTATAAACTCTTTTTTACATCTAATCTTTGAACTCGTCTTTTTTGAGAGATAAGTGTAGGCTGAAGTGCTGAGTTTACATTTACAAACTAAGTTTAAGCACATTTTAAGTATTTCAAATGCTAAACAATTTTCCTAATACCATTGGCTATATCATCAATGTGGCAACCCATTGATTTGAAATGTCTCATTTATCACATATTAAGTACATTGATTGAGTTGTTCCTGGGCTTACTAATATTGATTCTATTCTATTTATGTTTTTATTACCTTTTTCAGCACCCACCATTCTACCAAGCATTGCTTTATTCATCTGAAACGAAATTCCTTTCTACTCATCTACCATAAGTATCTGTCTGCATGCCTTTGCAAATTTTGTTAATTCTCTTTTTATTCTTTCAAGTAAATTCCACAGTTATTGTCAAGGTACAAACTCACTCATGCACAAACTTCCCATATCAACTTATCAACAGTAGCAACGTCCCAGGTAAAAGTAAGTGTCTTGGATTGGGTGTTCCCTGGCCACCCACCGCAGCACATACCTAAAATGTTCATGGTCCTCAAAGAAGGACCGCTCCTTCTGCAGAGCTTCAGGCAGGCTCATCTTTTCCTGGATGTCCTGTTGGCCCCGGCACTTGACGATCATGTAGCCCTTCTTCAGTTGGTAGACCATGTTCTTTACCACATCCAACACCCTGTCTTCAGTGCCTTTATCCACTAGGTCAGGTTTGGTCAAGATGCCTGTAAGTCAGAGTTTGTCATTAGAAAAGGGGAGGGTTGCAAAATGAAGCACATTTTGCTCTCCTGGTTATCAACTTCCCACCTTTGCTTGAGAGCAAACAGGAACCCTTTCAGAATTGAAATGCAAGGAGGAAGCCCTATCTAGTGACAGATACAACCAGGCTTTCTGGAGATGATGAGTGGAGAGCTCCCTTCTCAAGCAGCTACAATGGCTTCTCTCAAGATTCTTGGGCTCTACGCCAAGGAGAAATCAGTTGATGATCTTTCTGTTCTCCTTCTCGCAAATAAAAACATTCCTTCTTTAACACAATGGTTTATAAGCTCTTCTATGCACCAAAGAGGAATGTTAAAAAGCAGAGCCTCAGAATTCTCATCTATGCAACTCAGTAGCATTTTTTAAAAATTTTGCCAATTATTTTCCAGTGTAGTTCTATACTTTAAGAAACAGATTCATCTTAGATTTGTGACATAAATGAAGGGCCCAGTCCAAACTGAAAGCACAGGATATCTTATTCAAATATTAATGTTTCAAGATGGTGACAGCAGAGCATTATAAATGTGGAGCCCTGGAGGAGTGCACCGCCATGAAGGTGGCCTAGGCCTAACCATGGGGTTTACTGTGTCTGCTAGTCCTTATTTTCCTAGAGTTGAGAGTCCGTCCTGGGGATGATCAGAAGGATGGCAAGAAAGAATAGGAAAATTAGTGGGCTAAGGATAGTGTATCAGGAAGACAGAAGAAGATAATATAATCACTGAATAGGTATGCAGATGTGGGCTGCCTCCACCTAGACATCTTAAAACATTAAACCACCATTTAAGTTACTGTCATCACTTTCTCTTGTTGTTATTGTTAGGTGCTGTTGAGTCAATTATGACTCACAGTGACCCTACCAACAAAAGATATGAACTCTGTTCCGTCCTGTGCCATCTTCCTACTTTCTGACACACAAGAGCGCATAGCAGCAGTCACCGTGTCAATTCACCTGGTTGAGGGTCTTCCTCTCCTTTGCCAACCCTCCACCCTTCCCAGCATCATGTCCCTCGTGAAGGAATAGCCCCTCCTAGCAACATGCCCGAATTATGTGAGGCAAAGCCTTATCACTCTTGCTTCCAAAGAGCACTCCGGCTGCACTCTCTCCAAGACATATCTGTTTGTTCTCTTGGCCATCCATGGGATGTTCAGAGCTCTTCTCCAACACCACAAAGGTATCAATTCTTTTTCTTTTTTTTTCTTTCTATATTTTATTAATTTTCATAAACATTTACAGAGATTTTGGGTTTCCATTCATTCATTGTTGCACTATTCTCTCTACCCTCCTCCCAGTTTGTTCTTGTCCAAATGCCACAGTGCTTGTCAAAGCCAGTTCTGATTAATCTTCTTTATCGTGTCCTTTGCCATTCCCTATCACTCCTCCCTGAGAGAGACTTCACCCTGAGTCATAAGGAAAAGGGGATGGCGTATTCTCTTAGCTACTTCCTGCTGAAAAGGGACGCTGTGGGTTTCAGGGTGAAGATCTTCTCTCACTACTCTAAAGGGTCCCTTTGGCAGTAGGAAACACATAGACTATTATGGAGATTGATTTTGGAATTTAGATGCACTCTTATTGATTGTGCTTGGCCGTACATGTACATATCCTTGAAGATGTATCATGGGGGTGTTGCAACCTAGAAGACACAAATTTGACTAACAAGTTATAAGTACATGAGTCAAAAATTATGGAAAAGTAAAAGAAAAGATTCTTTCATTGTTTTACAAACCCTCCCCCAGGTCCCCTCCACCATGTAGTCCCTCGCTCTAGTCTCCTGTGATGACAGAAATACCTAGTTATATATCTCTTTTAAACAGTTTTCTCCCTCCTCTGTTTCAGTGCAGTATACATTATTGAACCCATCTTACTCAGTCTCTCCCCAACCCCAAGGACAGTCCCATTCTACAACAGTGGCATCATGTAATATTTGTCCTTTTGTGACTGGGATATTTCACTCAGCATAATGTTCTCCAGAGTCAACCATTTTGAATAATATTGCATGAGTTCCTTGTTTTTTAATGCAGTATAGTATTCCATTGTGCGAATATACCACAGCTTCTCTAGCCATTCGTTTGTTGATGGGCACTTGGGTTGTTTCCAACTCCTTGCTATTGTGAACAAAGCTGCAATAAACATGGGTGTGCATATATCTGCTTGGATGTCAGCTATGGTCTCTTCAGGGTATATTCCCAGTAGTGGAATTGCTGGGTCAAATGGTATCTCTATTTGCAACTTTTTGAGAAAGCGCCATACTGCTTTCCACAGGGGTTGTACCATTTTACACTCCCACCAACAGTGAATCAGGGTTCCAGTTTCTCCACAACCTCGCCAGCATTTGTTGCTTGCTGTTCTGTTAAATTTTGCTATTTTGACTGGGGTGAAATGATATCTCATAGTTGTTTTCATTTGCATCTCTCTTAGGGCTAGGGATTTTGAGCATTTCTTCATGTGTTTGTTAGCCATCTGAATGTCGTCTTTGGTGAAATGCCTGTTCATATCCTGTGCCCATTTTTCTATTGGATTATATATGCCCTCGCGCTCTCAATTCTTTTTCTGTCATCCTTATTCATTGTCCAGCTCTCAGATGCATAGAAAGTGATTAGAAAGACTACTGCCTGAATCAGATATACATTAGTCCTTAAACTGACATCATTATTCCCCCAATAATTTGGAGAGGTTTTTAACTACAGATTTTCCCCACAGACTAGGAAGCAGGATGGGCCATCTACTTTTTAAATAATAGGCCTTTGAAACGCCTATGAACACTAAAGGAATGAGGATAGTTAGTGTAGTGGTAGATCTCAGACTGGAAGTCAGTTGAAATGAGGAAAAACAGTAATAAACATCATTTAATAACTGAAACATGGAATGTATGTAGCTTGCATGCTGAAAAGCTGGAAATTGTTGAAAATGAAATGGAACGCATGAACATTGACAGATACTAGGCATTAGTAAGATGAGATGGACCTGCTTTGGCCACTTTGAATCAGATAATTATATGATATACTATGCTGGGACTGGAAAACAGAAGGGTGCTACAGTCATAGTCAAAAAGTCAATTTCAACTTCTATCCTGAAATATAATGCTGTGGGTGATAGGATAATATCTATACGCATACAAGGAAGACCTCTTTAACACTTTCTCTGTTGCTTACACCAAAAAGCATTATTTTTTTAAAAGAAAATTATTTTATACTGGTTTATTTATGAACTTTGTACACATTGTTTTCACAATGGATTTTCCCATTTCCATTACCCACCCCTCCCTCTACCCATCAAATTGTGTGATCCTATTACCTCCCTGGACATCCTCACCCTTCTGTCTCTCCACCTTGGATCCTCACACATGTTTTTACTAGTTTTCTTTCTGTTTCTACAATAATGGTCTTATATAGTATTTGTCCTAATGGGACTGAATTAGTTCACTTAGCATAATGCTCTACACTCCTTCCCAAGGTAAGTAGTGAATCTCAAAAATTACTGTTCCTGCATTCATGCCTGGTATCCCACTATGGGAATATATCACAATTTCTCAGTCTGGTTGATTGTGGTTGGTCATTTGGGCTGTTTCCATGTTCTTGAGATGGTGAATAATGCTGCTGTGAACACTGGTGTACAAATCTCTGTTTGTGCCTCAGTTCTCATTTTGTTGGGATATATTCCAAGCAGTGGAATATCTGGGTCATATGGAATTTCTATGATCAGGTTTTTGGGGAAATGCCAAATTGCCTTCCAAAGTGGTTGTACCATTTTACCATCCACTTCCGTAATAGCTTGCCTCCGGAAACCCTATGAACCTGGAGAGAGGATGAGAGACATCCAAGTTCTGAGGACTCTCCTTCATTGGGTTGCTATAAGTCACCTGCAACTTGACGACACTTAACAACAACAACCAACAATATAGAAGACTTTCTATCTCTGCATGAGGAAAGAGAACTCAAATAAGCAAAGTACTTTGGAAAAACAAAAATGAAGTGAGAGGCATAGCACTCTCTGACCTCAAAACCTACTATACAACAGTAGTAACCAAAATTGCATGGTACTGGTACAATGACAGGCACATAGAACAATGTAGCAGAATTTAGAGCCTAGGAATGGACCCATCTATTTACGATCAACTGATATTTGACCAACAAATAAAGCTATAGATGGGGAAATGACAACCTTTTCAACAAATGGTGCTGGCAGGATTTAATCTTTAGAAGGCCAAATTCATCAATTTTATCCTCTCCTGATCACCCATTTTATACTATGAGCTAGACAGGCCTTCTTTTTTTTTTTTTTGTCAATTTTTTTTTAATTATTATTATGTGTCAAATGCATTAATGGCTGGTTACCCAATGCAGACAGAGAGTGGAGTAGAGCTCCCCGATGAAAACAAGCTTGGAAGGAGGAGTGGCATCCACTTCCATAATAGCTTGCCTCCAGAAACCCTATGAACCTGGAGAGAGGATGAAAGGCACCCAAGCATTGAGGACTCTCCTTCATAGGGTCGCTATGAGTCGCCTGCGACTCAATAGCACTTAACAACATTATTAATTTCAATGAAAATTTACAGAGACTTTGGATTTCCATTCATTCATTGTTGCATTTTTCTCCCTGGTCACCCCTCCCCATCCACCTCCCACCCCCCACCCCCGACAGGCCTTCTAAGCTTGGTCCTACTTTGTCTCTTATGATCTTTATGATTGGGGCTGTAACCCAAGGTCTCTAATGCACCTTGAGTTGATTTTTGTATATGGTGAGAAGTGTGCATCCTGCTTCAGCTTTCTGCAGGTAGTAGTCCTATTCTGTCAGCACCATTTGTTGAAGAGGTTGTCATTTCTCCATTTGATAGGTTTTGTTTCCTTGTTGAATATCAGTTTACCATAGATAGATGGATTAATTTTTAGGTTCTAGATTCTGTTCTACTGGTCTATGTGCCTGTCATTGTGCCAGTACCATGTTATTTTGGTTAATACAGCTGTGTAGTAGTTTTTGATATCAGGGATTGCTATGCATCTCACTTCATTCTTGTTTTTCAGAAGTGCTTTGTTTATTCAAGGTCGCTTTCTTTTCCAAATAAACTTGCCAGTTGCCTTTACTATCTCTGAAAAATGAATTTGGTATCTGTATTGGGATTGCATTAAACATACAGATTGTTTATTTAAGATTGTCATTTTTACTATATTGAATCTTCCTATCTATGAACAGGGAACATTTTTCCATTTTTGGGGGGGGTTTTGGGGGGGGTTGGTCTTTAATTGTGTTTCACAGAAAGGCTGTTGTTTTCTTTGTAAAGGTCTTTTATGTCTCTAATTAGATTTATTCCTGAGTATCTCAATTCGTGGTTGACTTCTGTAAATTGTATTCCTTTCTTAGTTTCCTTCTCTGTGTTTTCTTTGTACTGCAGGGGAATTCCACCAATTTTTAAAAAAATATATTGATCTTGTATCCTGCCACTCTACTAAACTGGTCTACGAGCTCTAACAGGGTTTTGTTGTTGTTGTTGTTATTTTTGTTGTTGTTTAGTCCTTGGAGTTTTCTGTGTACAATATCATATCATCTGCATATAGCAACAGTTTGACCATCTCTCTGTTGATCTGGATTCCTTTTGTTTTCTTCTCTTGTTGTATTACCCTAGAAAGCACTTCTAATACAATATTGAATAGAAGTGGTGACAGTGGACATCCTAGTCTGGTACCTGTTCACAAGGAAAATGTTTTTAGTATTTCTAGTCTTTCTCCATTGAGAGTGATATTAGCTCTTGGTTTTGCATAAATACGTTTCACTATATTGAGGAAATTCCCTTCCATTCCAATTTTGCTGAGTGTCTTTATCAGGGAAGGGTGCTGGATTTTGCATCAATTGCTAAGATTCTATGGTTCTTATTATTTACTTTGTTAATATGGTGAATTACGTTGAATGTTTTTCTTATGCTGAACCATCCTTGCATGCTTGTTATCAATCCCATTTGGTCATGATGAATTACTGTTTTGATATTCTTTTGGATTCTATTGGTTAGAATTTTGTTAAGGATTTTTGCATCTATATTCACAAGAGCTATAAGTCTATAATTTTCTTTCTTGGTAATATCTTTGCCTAGTTTTGGTATTAGGGTTATGCTTCCTTCATAGAATTATTTTGGGAGTGTTCCTTTTTTTAAAAAAAATATTTTCATTAGATTTGGTGATATATTGTCTCTGAATGTTTGTTAGAATTCAGCTGTGAAGCTATCTGGTCCAGAAATTTTCCTCTGGGGAAGTCTTCTTATGACCTGTTCTGTTTCTTCTTTTGTGAAGGATCTCTTCAAGTGTTCTACATCTGTCTTTGTCAATCTGGGTAGTTCCTGAGTACTGAGGAATTTGCCATTTCCTCTAGGTTTTCAAATTTATCAGAGTATAGCTTTTCATAGTATTCTGGTGTTATTTGATTTCATTTCATCTGGTTCTGTTGTGATATCACCTCTATCATTTCTTATTCGAGTTATCTATGTCTTCTCCTTTCTACCTTTTGTTAAGTTTGCCAGTGGTTTGTCAATTTTACTGACCCTTTAGTAAAACCAGTTCCTGGTCTTAATGATGGTTTCAATTGGTTTTCTGTTTTCCTGTCTCACTGATTTCAGCTCTTGTCCTTATAATTTTCTTTCTTCTATAGTACGTAGGATTAGATTGTTGTTCTTTTTTATTTGATGAAGTTAGATCATTAATTTTTTTCTTTTTTCTTCCCTTTTAATGAGTGTGTCTATTGCTATGAACTGTCCCCAGATGACAGCCTTAGCTGCATCCCAGAAGTTTTGGTATGTCGTATTTTCATTTTCATTTGTTTTAAGGAACTTTTTAATTTCATTTATAACCCAATATATCCTAGCAGAGAGTTACTTAGCTTCCACATGGGTGGTTTTGTAAGCTTTATTCTCCTGTGGGTTAATTTCTAGTTTTATGTCTGAGAAGACACTTCGTATTATTTCAATGTTTTTTAATTAGTTGAGGCTTGCTTTGTTTCCTAATATATGACCACTTAAGAACCAAATGCATTCTTAACTAATGCAATTTATCTTCATATTTTGCTTTGTCCCCTAGGCTCTACTATGACTGTTACAGGCAGATTGATGAGGGTTCTGATATTCTGAATTGTGTACTCTAAAAAAAGATATTCTAAGTTCTAAACCCTGTTATATGTAAATATGCTCTTATTTTGAAGTAGGGCCCTTGAAGATGTTATCAATTAATAAAAGGCTATACTTGAGTAAGGTGGGTCCTATTTGTTCTTGAAAACAATATATTAAAATGTTGTAAATAAACTAGTAGAAAATTAAAACAAAAAAAACAAAAAAAGAGAGAAGAGATAGAAAGGATGACCACATAAAGAAGCATCTACAATAAGAAACACCTGGAGTTACAAAAGCTGAAAGAGACAAGAAAGGATCTTCCCCTAGAGGCTTTAGCAGGAAAATGACCTACTCAGCTTCCTGATTTGAATGTCTAGCCTGTAAAAGCATGAAGCATTAATATCTGTTCTTATTAATTCTTATTAGCCACCAATTTGTGGCGTTTTGTTAAAGTATCCTTGAGGCACTAATACAAGAGTTAAGAATCAAGTTGTAGCATTTCATCAGGTCCAGCTAACCAGCTAAATGGGTATGAAGCTCACCATCTTTATAATACTTACATGCTAGGTACAGGTCCATCCACTCAAACATGTGCCAAGGAACCTGTATATTTCCACTGTGAACTACCCACAATTTTAGGTTTTCTCATCTTCTTACCTATTGTCCTATCTCCCTCAGGGTCCACCTCCTGAGCCATGCTGAGAGCTTCTGTAGTTGCAATGTCCACATTACTGGGAACCACCACCAAGTTGATTGTTTCCTGCTTCTGGATATATTCTCTGATGAGCCTCTTTATCTGTAAGAAAATGCCATATGTTAGAAATGCCAAGACAAATGAGCACTGAGTTAGGTCCTCACTTTGTATTTGCTTCAGGCCCCAGACTCCCACAGAGGTATTTCCTCAGTTAGCATTATGAGAAACTAGGTTCTTTAAGGTGCAAACATAGTTATGGGGTCAAGGAAAATCATAAGGTTTGCAATGATTAATTTTATGTGCCAATTTGGCTAGGTTCAGTTGCTTGGCCAAACATCACTCCTCATTATCATAATTTATAAATAAGGGTAATGTCCACATTCATTTGACCCTATGTAAAGAAGATTACCCTCCACAGATGTAGCAGCACCTCTTCTAATCAAAAGAAGGTGGTAAGAGCAAAAATTTGGATTTTCGAAAGGAGAAAGAATTCTAGTTCAGGACTAGTTGGATTTTCGAAAGGAGAAAGAATTCTAGTTCAGGACTAGAATAAAGACAAACTGTTGGAGCTTCCAGCCTGTTGCCCTATATTTCGACTTTGGACTTGCCAGCTGCCCCAATCATAAGCCAATTCCTTCAAATCAATTAATGGTGTTATGTGTGTTTGTGTATATATGCATGTATACAGACACCTCCCCTACTGGCTTTGTTTCTCTGGAAAATTCTGACTAATGGAAGGTTTTAGATGAGAAACTGTCCCCTAAAACTCCAACTGTTCTCTAAGTCTATATCCCATGGACAAACAAACATATCTATCTTGGAAGAAGTCCCACTACACTGCCTAAGAGGCAAGGATGGTAAAACTTCAAGTTACAAACTTTGGGTATGTTTTCAGGAGGGGCAAATCCTGGAAAAAAAGGCATGATTCTGGAAAAGGTAGATGGTCAGCGAGAAAGAAGATCCTCAACAAGATGGATTGACACAGTTACTGCAACAATGGGCTTGAGCATGGTGGGAATTGTAAGGATGGTGCAGTCAGGGCAAGCTTCTGATCTGCTGTTCAGGGTCACTAGGAGTTGTACCAGACTTGATGGAATCTAACAACAACAACAATAACACGAGAACTTCAAATTTAAGGCTAAAAAAACTAAGAAACTAACAAAAGTAATGACTCATTCCTTAAGCTTTTCATTCGTGGAATGAGTTTCATTCATAATTATAATTCAACCTATTTCTAATGCACTCATATCCCACATAAAATTCCTTCTTTATAATTACAAGTTTAGATATGCCATGAAATATAACTATGATCAAGAGACACCACCCAAAAAAAGGGAAAAAAAAGAGACACCACCAAAAATGTAAAACTATTTTTCATCTTGCCTGTCAGCCTTATGCTCTCCAGAGAATTTTCTATCACATTTGACAAAAGAAATTGAGACCCAATCTCCGACTCCAGTCTCCCAATATCCACTCTTCAAAATCGTGAACTTACTGTTGCCCAAATGCAGCATTCAGCCCCTGTTCCTGTCTCCCAAGGTCAAGGCCAGATGAATGTGAAGTCTTACCTGTTTCCCAATGTCAGCCGGCTGATTTCCCACAGCCACCCTGGTTATACCAGGAAGGTCAATCAAGGTCAGATCTGGGACATTTGGGGAGCTGATCTCCAGACTTATAAGTTTGTGGCTGATACCCAGTCCATGCCCAGCGATGATATTCTGGGCTAGAAAAAAGGAAAAAGAAAAAACTGAATATAGCTTAAGAAGAAAGCAGGGTGTTTTGTTTTGTTTTTTACAAGAAATGCCCTGACAAGTCCTTCCACTCACTGTGATTCTTGGTAAAGGTACATCAGGAACAAATATGACTTTCTGTAGTTGGTGCTTCAAGGGCGTCTCAGTGGTAACTCATTACTTCCCCAACAGAGACCAGCTGTTTGTAGAGTGACTCTTGAGAACCATCTTCATGGAAGATCCCACCCTGTATCAGCCCACACTGAGCACAATAATAAAATTATTCCTGGTGCTACATTTACATCCTGCCTGTTGAAAAGTCAGCAAAGTGGAAACAAATGAAAACGATGGGAATTCCTAAATTACCAATTTAAAAGTTCATGGGGAAAAGGAGAAGTAGATGTTTCAGGAACAATGAGCATGATTATATTTCCTGAAAAGATTTAATTTTGCTTTATACTCCTTAATAATGAAACCTACAGGCATTTGGGATATGAATTTATTTTACCAAATCATAAGCTCATATCAACTTTACGTTTCAATTTTTTTCTACATCCAGAATGCCTTGTTGACATGCTTATACCATCTATGACTTAGATCCAGAACAATCCTCTCCCTAAGTGATAAAACTGACCATGTAGCAACCAAGATGAAAGAATATATTTTATAGGCTTCCTAGAAGATAGCTGTGATGAGGTCATGAGATGAGGTTTGAGACATTAGAGCATATATAAAAAATACTCAGTGTGCTACAAAAGAGCAGGGATATGGCTGTATCAATGTCCAGCAAGTGAGTGCAACAATGAATGAGTGGAAGCCCCAAATCTCTGTAAATGTTTATGAAAATTAATAAAATATAATTAAAAAAAAAAAAAAAAAAATAAATAATCTGGGGAAACACAGTTTAAGATAACCATAATAGCCTGTTCCCCAATACATTTCTACCACACTTTTAACATTCATTTAAAATTCTTGTCTAAATAATTACTGTAATACTTTAATAAATGGTAATTTTCTCATTTTTATCAGTTGGCATTCTACTATAGTCTTATTTCTTCCCTCCGTCATTGTCATTTGCTAGCTTTTTTGTTTTCATAGTCAGAATGAACTCATAAGACTCTTATTTATTTGATAGGATCGAATTCATTAATGTCATCATTCTGATGCTCAAATTTTTCAAGGTTTGGTCAGGGATGCCTAACAATCTGGCTTCTGTGTTCTTTTGGCATATTTTCAACCTTTTGTCTGTAGTAGAAGTAATTCCGATTCATGGTAAGCCTGTGTGTAACAGAAATGTGTAACATTGCTGGTCTTCCACTATTTTCTGTACGTTGTTATGTACCATCTAGTCAAAACCAAATCATAGCTGACTCTCCTGAAGGTTTTCAGAGGTTGGGAATCACAAGGGAGGAAATTACCTAATCTTTCTTCCTAAGAGCAGCTGGTAGATTCAAACCATGTTCCTTGCATTGACGGTGTAACTCTTTACCACTATCTTCTGGCACAGCAAGTGTACTGGGCTCGTGTTGTGCTTTTCATGCTGTAGTCATGCAAAATGTCATCACTTCAACAAGTCCTGGCTCCTTTCAGTAAGCAATGGGTTTTGGATAACAAGACTTGATACCAGACCTTTTATTGGCTTTTTAGCTAACAGAGCTAGGAAATTGTTTTGGCTTTTAAAATTTTTTTAAAGAAAGTTTATAGAATCCAGGGCCACACAGGGTTTTTTTCTACTTTCTCTACTCCATATTTGGATCTCTCTAACATCTCTCTAGAGCTCTGGCAGCCTAGAGGAAAGAAGTTTCACTTCAGTCCTGAAAGCATGTGGTTCGAGGATATCAGCTGCTCCATGGGAGGATGGGAAATATGCTAGCATTTGATTAACTGCCTCTGAAAACCCTCTGGAGGGTCAGCTATGAGTTGATTCCAACTCAACGGTACACAACAGAAACAACATACCTCTTGTTTCCAACAATATCGGTCTAGTTAGTCATTTTCACAATGCTATAATATACAAATATGCCAAAGAATAAACAAATATGTCTTGGAGAAAGTG